CATCAGCTGATTGTAATTATTATCTGCTATTAATTTGGCATTCACAGTAAAAAATAATTTTCCAGCCTTTTCGACCGTCAATTTTTTATCGGCTGATTGAGTTTTGAAGAGCATCAGAAACATGATCCTAAATGACGACTGTGATGAAAAAAAATTTTGGAGCAGGGAGTAGAAAAAAGCAAAAAGTAAAAACAAGCTCTTGACGAAATTCAGTACTGCACATTTTGTTTTGCACCGTCTTTATAAAATTCAGCTATCCGTTTTCTGAATATTCTTGTTCGAATGACGTAGTTATCAGTTATAGTAGCTTTAGCATCTAAAAATAGTAATAACTAAACTTAATACCATAGCACACGAATGATATTGGACACAACGGTTAGCTTAGACTTGAACTGTGACCATTTTATTTAACGTGTCTTCGCTTATACCTTTATAGTTGTCGACGCTGGAAGCAAACAGTAAGAGTCCTTTTACAAGGTATCTGTATTTAACTTCTTCAAAACTCCGTTGAGTAAGTGGCACTTTTTTAGTTCATTGATACACCAGTTATTTGATTTGAATATCTCATTACGTACCATGAGCTTTCAGAAGAAAAAACTGAAAAATTCATCCCATAATCTTGGTTGCATTTGCGATCATTTTGTCGTGAAATCCTTTCATTTAAATTTGCCAAAATCTTTAAAAAAGACGGTAACTACGCAGTCTAATTTGACTGTGCCACTAAATTAGAACATCAAACGTTTACGCGAAGGAAAACTTGGTAAAATGACAAATTACAAAAACTTCATATATAGTTAAAAATTTTAAAATCAAAATCAAGTCCATGCTGCCTAAAAGAGCCGATAAAAACTAGTAGCAGATTAAACAAATGCAATTTAAGAAAACCTAAAATTAAGCGACGGAAACAAGAACTTAAACCACGAAATCGATAAAAAAATCAATTTTTTTCAAGAAACTTATTTGAAAAAAAATACTTCCCGGAAAAGAATCTGGATCTACCTAAAAATTTCCACCCCTATGAATAAACTCAGTAAATAAGCACTAGAGCTTTATTTTGAGAATTATATTTTCGCTGCATTCTGATTGGTCAAAAATTCGATTATTTAACCTACTTAACAATCTCCCCACTTCTGAAAAGGGAGGAGGATTTGTTAAGTAGATCCAAGAATCTATTTACTCCTAAATGAAGGTAAAGTTGTTTGAGTTTTCAAAAAATTGAGCATGCCTTGGATTTTACCGTTTCTACAAAATTGACTATTCTGTGATCAAAATTATTCCGGGTAAAAAGTCTAGTACCCGGTTGCAATAACCTTTTCTACTATACAAGTAAGCCTGTACACCAAGTATTTTAGAAAAAAAACAGCAACCTGAAACTTTAACATTAGCTGAATTGGATCATGTTAACTACTTGCCCCCTCTATTGCAAAAGGGGAGAAATAGCCAAGAAGATTCGGATGAAATTTTTTTGTAATAACATCAACCAATAGGAGTGCGAATTGAAACAACGTCAACCAATAGGAATGCGACAGAACACATTTCTGAGAAAAACAAAACCAATCCAGTTGAGCATAAATGAACTTAACAATAAACTGCCGAAAACTGTTTTATAGGAGGGGAGATTCTTTACAAGGTAACATAGGGGGAAAATAAATAACATGATCAACTGAGTTTAATTATTAGCTATTAATTTGGCATTGGTAGTAAATTATAATTTTTTCAGCCTTTTCGACCGTCAGTTTTTTATCGGCTGATCGAGTTTTGAAGAGCGACAAAAACATGACCTTGATTGACGACTGTGAACAGAAAAAACTAGAAACAGGGACGGGGACGTTCAACAGTGCCGAAGGGTAGAATCCCTCATGAGCGAAGGACCGAATGCGCGAAAATAAAAATCAGCCTATGAGATTTCAGTAATCTGAAATTTGGAAAGAAAGTAAACCTTTTTAGGGAAGGAGTATTGATAATGGCCGAATATAAATATGGGGGAAATATGCAAGATTTCCGAATTGTCACTGACACCGTCGAATTGGAACAAAATTTATATTTCAAGGGTTTTGTTATCAAAGAAGCAAAATATTGCTTCATTTATTTGAATGGCAATTGCTTCTTTTTAAAATTTGCCTTTCAGTTAAATTTATTTTCGGTCATTCGCTCACGAATTTTTTTGCGCATTCGGTCTTTCGCGCTTGAAAATAGCCCCCGTGCCGAAGTACAACAGTGTCGAAAAAGGCGGAAAAATTTCAGAAAATTTTAAACGCATTTTCTAAAGAGCGGCAAATTACTGACGCTAATTAACAAAGAAAATCACTCCAAGTTTGGCGCCCTTATGCCTGCAACAGTAAATTAAACAATTATTTTAGCGTCAAAACGTGTAAACTGCAATTTTTCTCGCTCAAAATCTTAAAGTATCACTTAAGATTGTACACAATTGCTGTTTAATTTTTGATTGCCGCACTTAATTTGTTGAAATTAGTTCAAATTTTCGGCACTGTTGAACACAGTTTTCATTTTCGGCACTGTTGAACACAGTTTTCATTTTCGGCACTGTTGTTCTTCGACACTGTTGTACTGCCCCGCAAGAGCTAGAAAAGGGCAAAAAATAATGATAAAAAACTCTTGATGAGTTTCAGTACTAAACGTTTTGTTTTGCACCATCTTTATATAATTCAGCAACCCGTTTTCTGAACATTCTTGTTCGAATGACGTAAATATCAGTATTAGTGGTAGAATCCCTCATGCGCGAAGGACCGAATGTGCCAAAAAAAAACCAGCCACTCAGATTTCAGTAATCTAAATTTTGGAAAGAATGTAAGCATTTCCAGGGACTGGAGTATTGATATTGGCCGAATACAAAAATGACAGAAAAATCCAAAGTTTCCAAATTGTCATTGACCGCCGCAAAATTGGGACAAATTTTATATTTCAACGATTTCGTGATGGAAAAAGCAAAAAATTGCTTCATTTATTTCATTTCAATTGAATGGCAATTGCTTCTTTTTAAAAACTGACTTCCGGGTAATTTTCTTTTCGGTCTTTCGCACACGAGTTTTTCGCGCATTCGGTCCTTCGCGCATGAGATTAGCCCTCAGTTATAGTAGCTTTAGCATTTAAAAATAGTAACTACTAATTATAATATTATATTTTGTAAGGAGGAGGAGCAATAAGCAGAATGGTCCAATAGCAGAATGAGTCCAAGAGCAGAAAAACAGAAAACTTTTGACTTGTATTGTTTTATAAGGGCTAATTGATAGAAGGATTGATAGAATCGTCAAAAAAAACCAAGAACAAAAACAAATTATGCATGAATTTGGGATACATAATTAAATGATTATCATTATTTGCAGATGAACCAAAAAATCTAAAAAAGAAAAACTTTTTTTTCAAAACAAAAAAATGGGGTTAATTATCTCTACTTTTCAGAGACGAAGCGATAGTTTGCACTGGATGCTAAAAAACATAGGCATAGTATGACAAACTAAACAAAAGAAATAGAGAAAAAAGCCAAAGAAAACTTAAAATAAAAAAAAAACAGAAAAGTTCATCCCATAATCTTTCCTACATTTGCGATCATTTTGTCGTGAACTATTTCCATTAAAATATGCCAAAATGTTTAACAAAAGACGGTAACTACGCGGTCTAAAGTGACTTAGTCGCTAAAACAGAAGACCAAACCGTTAAGGCGAGAAAAAATTGGTAATATGACAAATTACAAAAATTCCATTTATAGTTAATTATTTGAAAATCAAAATAAAATCCATGCTTCCTAAAGTGAGCCAATAAAATTTAGTAGCAAATAAAACAAATGCAGTTTGAGAAAACGGAAATTTAACCGACAGAAACTAGAACACAAATCACAAAACCGAAAAAAAATCAACATTTTTTCAAGAAAATAACATGAAAAAAATATATACTTCCCGGAAAAGAATATGGGTCTACTTAATCATCTCCACCCCTATGGACAAGCAGAGTGAATAAGCGCTAGAGCTTTGTATCGAGAAATATAATTTTGCTGCATTCTGATTGGTTAAAAGTTCGATTATTTAACCTACTTAACAATCTCCACCCCCCTTTCTGAAAAGGGAGGAAGATTGTTAAGTAGATGCAAGAATCTATTCACGCCTAAATGAAGGTAAAATTTGTGAATTTGCAAAAAATTGAGCATGCCTTGTATTTTACCATTTCTTCAAAATTGACTATTCTGTGAACAGAACTATTTCCGGGAAAAAAGTCTAGTACCCGATTGCAACAACCTTGCTTATCGCAAGGGTAAACATGAGCTAAATAAAACCAAATAGCTTTTCTAATGAACAAGTAAGCCTGTAAACCAAGTAACTTAGAAAAAAAAACAAAAAACAACAGCAGCCTAAAGTTTTAACATCAGCTGAATATAATTATTATCTGCTATTAATTTGGCATTGATAGTAAATACAGGGGCGGATTTAGGGGGGAAGGGCGGGGGGGGTTGGACGCTTCCCCCCCTCAGGGATTCCACCCCCTGCCGACCCAAAGGGTCCCTCCCCCCTTTGATACTTTCTCAGAAATCCGTTTTTGGCCGACCGACCCTAAAATTTTTCTAAGGGCGCCTTGGGAGCCAATATATACTAATTTTGAGGGGGAGCGCGCGCCAAAAAAAACGCGATTTTATTGTCAATTTTTTTCAAAAAGTGCCCAAAAACGGCTTTTTTGACTGTTTTTTCAAAAATTTGACTGCGGCGCAAAAAAAAGGTCGTCAAAATTTTCGAATTTTTTTTGAAAATCCGCCCCCCCCCCCCCCTCGAGAAAATCCTAGATCCGCCCCTGAGTAAATATAATTTTTTCAGCCTTTTCAACCGTCAATTTTTTATCGGCTGATTGAGTTTTGAAGAGCGATCAGATTTCTAAACGACGACTGTGAACAAAAAAATATTGGAGCAGGGAGTAGAAAAAGTAAAAAGTAAAAAAAGCTCTTGACGAATTTCAGTACTGCACGTTTTGTTCTGCACCGTCTTTATATAATTCAGCTATCCGTTTTCTGAATATTCTTGTTCGAATGACGTAGTTATCATTTATAGTAGCTTTAGCATCTAAAAATAGTAACTACTAAACATAATACCATAGCACACGAATGATATTGGACAGAACGGTTAGCTTAGACTTAGACTGTCACCATTTTATTTAACGTGTCTTCGCTTATACCTTTACAGTTATCGACCTTGGAAGCAAACATTTAGAGTCGTTTACGGTAAACAAGGTATCTGTATTTAATTTCTTCAAAACTTCGTTGGGTAAGTGGCACTTTTTCAGTTAATTGATTTGAATTTCTACCATCACATACCACGCGCTTTTAGAAAAATTCAAAGATCAGTCGGCCGAAAATGGACACCGTAAAAAAGTACCAAGAAGAAAAAAGAATCTTTGGGTGACTAGGTGCAGGGGCGGGTTTAGGATTTTCTCAAGTGGGGGGGGGTGGGTGTGGGTGGATTTTCAAAAAAAAAAATTCAAAAATTTTGTCGACCTTTATTTTAAGTCGACCATTTTGATATTGATTTTCCGAGGTCTCCCAAAGCAATAAAAAGACTCTGTTTTGGCCAACTTTTCTGCGCTACAATCAAAGTTTTGAAAAAAAAACAGGCATTTTTTGAAAAACTTTGACCAAAAAATTGCGTTTTCGGCGCGCGCTCACCCCTCAAAATTAGTTTATATTGGCGCCAAAACCGCCTTTGAAAATTTTTAAGATTCGTCACCAAAAATGGATATTTCAAAATAGTACAAAGGGGGACCCCTTTTTTGCGTCGGCAGGGGGTCGAATCCCTGAGGAGGATTAGGGTCTTTTCTGTCGTACGGTCCAAAATTCATCCTTAGGCTATTTTCAAAATTTGATCATAATGCTTGATTCTGATGGGATAAAGTTACAAAAAAAGGAAACCTGAAGCTTAATTTCAAACATATTAGCTCATTGGTTATGTTGTGGTAATTTTGGGCCGTTTAACAGAAAAGGCCCGGGAATTGGGCCCCTGTAAACCCCCCTGTTCTCAAACGTCTATTTCAGAATAGTTTCAGCCATAAGATACCTGGATTATCAGTTTGACTCTTTACTAAATAGTTTCCATTCGAGTTTGGGTGTGGCACTTGCTGCAGACAAAACGCGGTTACGGCTGATTAGTTTATCAACGATTTTTGGAATCTCTTTAAGTATTTCCCTCCTTTTCCAATGGGGAAAGATTCGTTACTGGGTACAAAGTTCACACGCTTAACCACTGAATTTATTCATTATTGCGGTGAGGGGGCAGGTACTTACCAGGTACCATAGGGGGGAGTAGTTAAGGAGGTCAGTTTTTTTTCTAGCAATAACGAGTATGCAGCGGATTAAACTAGTGATAGTGGGGGACGGGGCGGTGGGGAAGTCGTGTCTGCTCATTCGATACACCACCAATGCTTTCCCACAAGAATATGTGCCCACAGTATTCGACAACTACATGGCCAATGTTATTGTAGACGGCAAGCCAATCAGTTTGGGACTATGGGACACTGCAGGCCAAGAAGACTACGACAGACTTAGGTTCTAAACTTTTCGCTTGTAGAACCACCGTCGAAAAATTCGGGAGAACATGTTTTGATCATGTTTTCTAACCCTGCAGAACCGCCTTAAAACATTCCCAACTTAATTTTTGAATGATTTTGTTTTGTATAGGCCCTGGTTAAGCTTTAAGAACAAGTAGTTTTGGAGAGAATCATTCGGTTATTTGATTCAGTCACTTTTTAATTTTTTCTAGACCCCTGTCCTATCCGCAGACGGATGTTTTCATGTTGGCTTACGCAACAGCTTCAAAAACCTCATTTGACAACGTTGAGCACCGGTGGATACAAGAATTAAGACACCACTGTCCCGAGACGCCTGTTGTCATCGTGGGACTAAAGTCGGATCTGAAACCGAAAGTCACGACCAAGGAAGGCAAAGCTATGGCCTCAAAATTGGGATGCGCATTCGCCGAATGTAGTTCATTGAATGGTAATGGAGTTCAGCAAGTTATGGATTTGGCCTTAAGATCAGCCGTTCGTGAAGCCGAGACACGATTCAAGCAAAAACGAGGGCCGGCAGCCTTCATTCCTAACTTTGGAGGCTTTTCGTTTGATAGGTTCTCAACGGACAAGCTGAGAGCATTTTTTGGCAAAGTCAAACCGGAGTTGCCGGAGCCTCCAGTCATGCCGGAGGCGGGAAAAGCGCCTCAAATTAACATCATTTTACCAGACACTGCAGGTGATTTCTCAAAACAAATAATTGTTTTAAAGTTTAAACCCTAAGTCTTAGTTAAATTCAAAATTTTTTTGAATGATTTTATGAATTATTCGCGGTCTACCGGCAGAGTTTTAGCAGCAAACATACCAGAATGCATTGTTAGTACCTTTTTTGGGTGTTGAAACATAGTACTGGTAAAACAGGCTGCTTTTTCAAATCAAAGAAAACTCGTAAGATGCAACGATTGCCCTTACAAGTCCATACACAATTACCCGACGCTAATATATCTCTTTAAAGCGATTGCTATGATGCACAATGTTTGATAGCTGATATGAAGAGACTTCTGAACTTGGACGACAGCAGTAAGGACGTGAAGTTTCAACTGGAGGACGGGGCCGTGGTCTGGGCCCATAAGATCCTCCTGGCCTCCTCAAGTCACCTGTTCCGAACTCTATTCCAGCTGGACTCCACTCATCTTTTTTCTGGCCGTCCTGACATGACTCTTCCAGAGGAACGACTGAGCCAGGACCTCACTCAAAAACTGAAGTATGAAAGATACAATAAGTTGCTCAGATATGTCGCATTTGTTTTCGTTTGATGCGAAGATACAGCACTCTCACCCTAATTTGTACAACATAGTTACCTTCGAAATCTATTCTTTAATAGATGCTCGGGTTCTTTTGAGAAGTTTCTCGAAAAAAAAACTTAGTTTTGAAAACTTTTTTCTGAACCATCGGTGATCTTATGTACTTTTACGAAACTTTTGAAATGAAGTCACCGTGAAATCACAAAGAGAGAAAAAAATTTCGGAAATTGTGAGAGAACTGAATACTCATCCTATCATAGGCGCGTCCAGGTTCGAAATAAATTTCTGCGCGGAAGCGGGGTTTTAGAAAAAAAACAGATCGAAAATTTCGTTTTCTTAGAAGTTCTTGACAAAAACAAGGTTTTTTGGCGTGTGCTGCCTGCCCCCACGTCATACGTTTTCCTGGTTAAGCGACACAAACTCTGATGATAGCAAGTGTGATGATCACGGATGTTGTATAAATAAATATATATTATTTTCAGAGAAAGGAGTTTCCCTGTCGCTGGAATCGTCTCACTCTCGGAGTCCCGCTTGAACGACGGATCATTATGTTCATTAGTGTCAATGGATGAGTCAGTTACCCTTGACGTCATGAAAGGCATCTGTTTTTTGTTTAGACTTCCCGTATAACCTCTATGTCTTAAGCCAACGCCAAACTCAAAACCTCGAACTTGCTAAAGCATGAAGCAGTTCGCTATCTATGTTCCGAACCACATAATAAAACTACAATCCCCGGAAAATAAGACCGCAAAAAAACACTAATAGTATAATTTTTTTGTTCGACCATTTGAAAAGTGGGGAGGAACTTTGTATTGGGTGTGTTTTAGTTTTTTCTTTCTCTTTGTTTTCCACAAAAAGTAATGTACCACAAATAGTAATTGGAATTGGTCGAGTGATATATCACATTAAATTCCTTTCAATCGTAATCCGATCATTAAAAAATTCCAAATTTTTTTTCAGTGTCGAAAACCGGTTTGGAATTTTTGATTTTTGGTGTAACTTCAAACTAATATGGTGTGAGCGCTTAGGCTTACAATAGATTATTTCGTATTCGGGTGTGTTTTAGTTTTTTTCTTTTTGTTTTCCACGCAAAATTAGCTACCACAAATAATCATTGGACTGGGTTGATTGATATATCATATTAAAGCCTTTTTACTCGAAATTTGAACCACGTCAAGAAATTTCCAAATTTTTTTCCCGGTGTCAAGAAAAACCGGTTCAAAATCTTAATTCGAGCAAAATAAGCAAGCAAGCAGACTTACATGCTGAATTATGCCTGATTTAAGACCTTAATTTTTAATTTTAAGCAAATGAAACTTTTTTTAAGAGTTTTTTTAAGCTTCATTTCGAGAACCAAAAACTTCAAAAAATTTTCCGCAAAAATTTTTGAAAAAAAAACTTAATTTTTTAAAGTTTTTTTTCAGTCATTTTTCTGAAAACGTTTTAGTCCTTTTGCCTACATTACTATGATTGTCTAATATACCTAAAATATATTTTTATGTCAAATCCTTTTATCCCTCCAAGCAGAAAAACTTAACTAATTTGGAAAAAATTCTAAACCGTAGTTTTCTACAGACTATGGTCGGAACATTCTGTGCTACTGCACAGTAACTGACTATCCATGTTTAAGCTTATTTTAAGCCGTAAAAAATTAAGTTTTACCCAAAAAAGTAGTCTTCGGAGTTTTTTAGCGTCAATTTGTAAACAAAGATAAAAAGTTCCAAAAATTTCTGCAGAAAAAGGTTTTGAAAATTTAAAAACTTTTTGTTGCAGTTTTTTTAATTTTTGCTAATCAATTTTCGAATGGCCTTTTTATTTCTACTATGACTGTCAAATAAGCCTAAGCTTTGTTTCGATCAGATCTTTTTATCACACCATTCAGAAAAAAACGACACTAATTTGAAAAAAAAAATCATTTTTCTAAGACTGTGGTCGGAACATTCTGCGCTTCTTGCCCACAAACCGGCAAAACTTGTTATACTTTTGCAAATTTTTGCAAAAAGTTCATAGTGCTAGGTTATGTACGTTACTCATAAATACATGTAAATCAAAGTATTTGGGGGTCTAAATTTAAATTGATCCATTGGCTTCCAGAAGTTCTCCACTTTCTATACTGTGGTCTTCCTTCCTCAAATCTCAACTCAAACCTAATTCCTCAAATTAAGAGAATTTCCGCCGACATTTGTGCTCCAAAACTATTCGACGCCCTGGACAATATGGAGAAAAAGGAAGACGAGTTTTTCAACGACAGTATTCAGTTGTTTTTGAACGACAGAACGAGTGTAATGTGTGAACGACTTTTCTTCAACAAAGCAGCCTTGTGTGACATGGTGGTTTTGGCGGGTAAAACTGAATTCCACGTAAACAGATGTGTGCTCAGGTTGGTCTTTTTTTCAATCACGTTAGTTTTTTTTTATCGAATCTGCTTCGAGCAACTGGTCTTGTCTTGCCCGTCAAGAACTTCAAGTTCAACATTCAAGCACAAGAGACACTTAATGGTGTAAAGGATTCACTGAAATCTCATTTGGCTTTTCCTAGTTCATTTCGAGAAGATCTGGCGGTTTAAGGTCAAGGTCAGACGTGTTTAACGGGATGTTGAGTGGGAATTTCCTGGAAAACACGAATGGAGTACTGAAGATGGAGAGCAGATTCGCGCCCGAGGATGTCTCTGCTTTTCTCCAGTTTCTCTACAGTGGACACTCGGACTACCTGGAAAACGAGTCCTGTAAGAGTACTCAATAAAAAAGAAAGAAATTTGAACAAAACTGGAGTTTTTTGTAGAAAAGATGATATAAACAGGGAATAGTTTACCAGCCCAGACTAGATTGAAACTCAATTGAAATACAAAAAAAAACGTTCCTTATAGTTCTGAAAAATGAAGAGAAGTTATGTGGCTTGTTAAAATATATTTTCAATCGCTGCAGATTTCAATCGATAAATCCTCTAAGTATAAAAATCTTATAAGTTTTTCATGATAAGATATCAGTAAAAGTTTCCTGCTTTATAAAACTGTATATTACCCTAAATTATTTATTGTTGCGAGTTGTCGCTTTTCCTTGAATTTTACGAGTTGGCTAATTTTGCGAGTTTTAACTTTGTTCAGAGATTGTTTTAGGTGATCTGCAGAGCGTGATTGAGTTGTCTGAGATGTACTTAATACCCTCCCTCAAGAACAGATGTGAACTGTATATGACTAAGAGGGTGGACAAAGCGTGTGCAGTGTCCATAGAGAGAAGTGAAGTGGACTGCATTGAGCTGCTCATGTTCGCTGACCTCTTCAACTGTCATTTCCTCACACAGTGGTATGTGTAAGACAAGTGTCTATACTCAGTCAATTTACAAATCTCATCTCCGAACCAACTTCCTCTCCAGATCCCAATGTCTTTTATGTAATGAGTTATCAAATTGTCTCAAAATCGATTTATTTTTCGTGTTTATAAAATTATCTCTTGAGAATATTTTTTTTGACAAAAATGGAAAATTTAAACGGCCAATAAACTTTTAGAATTGTTTTTAAAAAAGATTTTTCGACATTGGCAGCAAATAATAATGATGAATTTGCTCCCCTTTTGCTTATTAATTATGTTTGAAACGATGCACTGGCAACCACAGAGTACATAATATTACATACCAGCAAAACCTGCTAAAAAATTCGAGCTTTGATCAGACATTGTTTTCTGGATTCGTTGGCATCATTCTTTATCAATACATTGTAGGTGCCGTCACTTCATATCCACAAACTATCTCATCTTTTCCAAGAAAAACAACTTCGCATCGCTTCCGGTCGAACACAAAGACTTCATAAATGAGCATCAATGGCCGCCTGTCAGTTACCTGGAAGATGTGAAAAGCTACGAGGCCAAGCTAGAGGCCCTCCACAAGAAAGGAGGCAAAAAGAAACAACTTAAGACCCTGCAACACTCACAGGATGTCTCAAACGATGATATCAATCAACAGCAAAATGCTGCAACAAATGTGCTGTAAAAACTGAAGAGAACCCTTTTTATAATGTAACGTAATCACTAATGTAATGTTTCAGTGTTCAGTCTTAGTTAAAAATTAGGTTAATGTTTTACATTTACATATATTTTTTTTCTTCAGAAATTTTTTTTCCAAATACGAAGCACGACTAAAGGTAATTGGTTGCAGGGGCTGATCTAGGTTTTTCTCGAGAGGGGGAGGGTTTCAAAAATTTGTCGAAATTTTGTCGACTTTTTTTAGGTCGACCAAATTGATTTTGCGAGCTTTCCCAGAGCACTAAAAAGACTCTGTTTTAGATTTGGCTAAATTTTACTGCGCCGCAGGCAAAACTGAAAAAAGGCCGAAAAAACGCCTTTAAAAAATTTTCAGGGTCCGTCGACAAAAATTCATATCTCAAAATAGTATAAAGGGGGTCAAATTCCTGAGAGAAAATCGTCTAAACAAGCTTAAATAAAACAATCTATTATCAAACCTGTAGAAGATAAGCAACAGTTACATATTTCGTCGAGAACATCTGTGAGCAAATTGAGACACGCATTGTCGATATGTGACCAAAGTTCGAGATGCTATAGAAGCTGTTGCTTTTCTGTATGAAACACATGTGAAAAAAGTGGTCAAATACCCACATTTGAAAAAACTTTCACTCTCAGACGTGATTTTTACTTTCGATTTTCTTTTTTCTTTTAAAATGGACCGGTCTTCTTGCTCAAAAATTGATGATTATTTCTTCAGAGCAGCATTAAATCTTTCGCAAAGTCAGTGGCTGAAAAACAGATGGGAATCCTGGATAAAATCTGTAATATGCAACCACATTAATTGCGCTAAGGCGGCGGTTAAATTTCTTGCCCTTATGAATAACCTCATAAATTGTGGTTGCATAAGTAATATGGCTCTCCAAGAATATCAAAGGTAGGAAAAAAGAGTAGACAAGTAAGCGAAGTGTTATTTAGTCCTGCGGCAACATCTACAAAGCCAAACATACCTGAAGATGATTTCGTTTCGGACAGCACACTTGAGTACGAAATCTCTCAAATTATGGAGATCGCGCATCAACAAAAGCCAGCTACTGGTGTGTCATCAATACTTGGAAACAATGTTTTCAGTGGGAATGCGGTGATGAACATGACCAAATAAATCAAAATCCTTCATTCTGTTTCAATGAAAAATGAAATTCCGTTTTTCAACTGTGCATTTATTAACTGTGCATTATTTAGCAATGGTTGATTTAAGTTTTAGAATTGTTCAAATAAGGTACCTAAACATATTGAACAAGTTTGGTTTATATTGTTGAAAAATTGTCAAAGAGCAAAAAGTTTTAGGAAATCGAAACGAAAGCTGATTTTTTGTAAAGCAAATTACAGAATAAACAAATCTTTTTAGAAGTCATGTTAAAATCTCTTACGCTTCTTTTTAGGAATCATTTGTTGAATGTAAAAAAGTCAAACTCAAGAAGCAAAACAGCCAGCGGTGAAAAACCTTATACAACTTTTCACAAGCATCAGTGCCTTAACGTTTGAAAAGATTCAGTCAATCAAATTTAAAAAATACTTTAAGTTTTGGCAAGCTGACTCACTTGACTGTTTTGGCAAATTGACCTTCCGGCACGTTGACATCCTTTAATTCACATTTTCAAAAAAGTTCAATTCATATCTACTTTTCCTAATGAAAATAAAATAATGATCTGACATACGCTATCAAAAATGGTCTGTTTTTCAAAACAATCGTTATTGGATAAAAGAAACTCAACGCTTAAAGAATTAGCAAACAGAATTTCGTAGGAAGTTAAAATTGACGCAGGGAGTGGAAAAATGAAAAAAAGTGTAAAAAAATATAAGTTTTTTGAAGAGGTCCTAATCAGGTTGACTATGGGCATTCAAAATTTGGTGACAGAATTTTTTTATAGATTTCAAAAACACTGCCGGGCATTTAAAAGAAAAAAAAGCAATATTGATGAGCAATTGTTTGATAAATTTAACCCAATAAGTAAATTTTTGTTTCGCTGCGAAACCTGAAAGTTACAACCCAGTTCCGCAACTTTGAGTTAATCAAGTTTTTCAAAATCTATACACTTTCCTTATTCAAGATATTGAGTTCGCCTAAAATGGAGTTCGCCTTCAATTAACACAGAGTTAAATCGGAGTCTCGCTTCACCGCGATTCAACGAGATACATCACTTGAGATGCAACGAAAGCGTAGCCTTGCAAGCTACCAAATAGGCAGGGCAATTGACAAAGTTAATTAAAAAAACTTGAAAAACGACAAATTCAATCTCAGAAAAACACTCGAGAAAAAACAATAAAAACATAAAACAAGCTTTCGAGATTTTCCAACTATTCACTTAGCCAACAGCACGTAGTTAGACATCAAGTGATCCAAAAAAACGACAAAAGAAATTGTTGTCATGAAGTAGAATAAAAAATCATAATTTTATTGGAAATACGAAAAATTCAATCTTAGAAAACAGAGAACATCACGTGGTAGGACGCTAATTGATTCGAAAACCAAACAAATTCGAACGAAATTGCTGTCATAAAAAATTTTGATTGTTTTTGAAATACGAAAGTTCCATCTCAGAAAAACCAACGAGAAACAACCAATTCTTCTTTAAGTCAAGGAACGTAGTTGCAAGAGTTGGCAAGTAATCCAGTTCAAAATTCGGTTCATTCAAGATCTGTCAGAGAAGTCTAAGAATCGAGTTAGTTCCAGTGTCTGCGATTGACAGGGGGGATCACCTGAGGAGAACAAAGTGCCCGATAGGATGATTTACTAAGGAGACATGACAGGTGTCTCGTATCATTCTCTGGTTCAGACAGACAATCTGAGTTAGATGAAAATTTTTAGTTTGCCAAGAAAACAGATTTCGACTGGAATTGAACTGCCGAGCTTTGTAGTTTCAAGCATTAGTCTTACAGAAACTTGGAAAAAACTGAACCTTCGAAAAAATTTGGGTTTTAAGCCGACAAAAACATGCAGACGGACGATAGATAGAAAGAACACAAAGACTCTTGTTAACAAAAAAAACAACATATCCCGGCCGAATTCGAACTACAAGCTTTTGCCGTCTCAAGTAGTTCGGTTACTTCTGCGCCGCATGATTGATTGAGTCTGAATTTATAATTAACAAGCGGTAACCAAGCCGAAAATACCTGAGCAAAAACCCTTCAAGACGAAAAAAATATAAACTAATAGCAAAATTTTTAAGTTTCCTTTTCCCTCAGAACACACACACATAAAAACACAAAAAATTATCGGTACACAAAATAAACCGAAAAATAAAAAAGAAGAAAAAAAAACATTAAAATTTATCAAATCGAGTTGGGAAAATTACAATCCATCTAAGAATCAAAACTCGATTCGACCGTTTTTTAAACATACTTAAAAACTACCAGACCAATTGCTGACAAAACTATATCAAAATGATCCTCCTACGTAGAACAGCAAATTTTTAGAAGAGCACAACCTCCAAAAAACTGCGCGAAATTGCGCAAAAAAACTGTGCTACAACTGCGTGCGCAAAGAACTGCGCGAAACGAAATTTTGGTGTTTTATAAAGTAAAAACGGTTTTTTTGCCATCAACCACAGTATATTCTCTTGCGTAGGTTTTTGCATTTTTTCGTTTATTGGAGATTCATTAAGCTGAGCAAGAGGCTCCTTTTGATATAACTTTTTTATCAACTAACTTGGTAGTTTTAGGGTAAACCTTGATTAAATGAAAAAAACCAAGTTACCAAATTTACCAAAAACCACCGAAAAAAAAATCAATGTTTTGGAGTCAACAAAATATAGAAGACTATGATTTTCTTAAATTTTGTTGGACTTCACAACTGCTCACTTTGGAAACAGAGAATTGAAATTTTGGCTCCTTTATTAGCGGAAATATGTGTTCTCATTAATTACGTGAATCAAAATGGGTACACTCATCAGGGCATGGGTGAGAAAAAAACTTTTCATGGTCAAGCAAGGTCAAGGATGCCAGGATCCAATTCGAAAGCTCAATTATGAAACTCAGTTTAGGGTAACCAAAGATAAGGAAAAATTTTATTAAAAAAACTGCGAATGTTCATGAATCGTAAAACTTTAGAGCCTACGGTATGGAACTTTATACTATCTTTTTCTCAGCCCAGTTTGAGTTTTCGGTTCCGTATTTCGACCACTTGTTTTGAATCAGATATTTCGGTTGGCCAAAAATTCCGTAGTCGCGTAGGACTTCTAGAAGAAGTTAAGCTCGAATTAAAAAAATCAAACTGAATCAAAACAAGCAAACTTGAGTTGAAAGTGGAAAATCTGAATCTTTGAAAAATTTTATATGTCCCTAGATATACTAATTTCACAATGAACTTTATGCACTTCTTCTGCATTAAGTTTTTAGCCATTTTTCTCGATTAAAAAACAAAAACGAAAAAAGGCATTACGGCCTTTATAAGTGATTACAAACATTAGATCCAGTTTCATTAATGTTTTTCCTGAAAAAATAATTAAAACACTTCCGAATACAAAGTTCTTTTGCATTATCAATGGTTGGAACAAAAAAGAAAAAAGCTAGATAAACTCGAATACAATATTTTTCTCACACTTTTCAATGGTCGGAACAAAAAGCATCAACGAAATTTTTTAAATTTTGGTTCTATAAGCAATGAGATTGTGACATGCACTTGAAAATTAGAATGGGATCGGATCTGATTTGCACCACGGATCTGAAGGTTTCACTTTAACGGCCATGAAAAACGGGTTGATTACTGCGCAAAAAAATACAAACACTTAAATCTGAAACAAATGTTTGCGCGATTTTTCATCAAATGAGTTTTTGCGTGGCATTACTTGCTTCAAATTCCGTTACATAAGTCTCATTCAGCTATTGTTTTGCAGAAAACCTCAAGCTTGGTTGGAATGGTTGTCGCGGTTGCTTAGTCGGCACATCGAAAAGCCTATTGAAGGAATTGTTTCGCGCCATTTGCGATTGAGAAAAAGAAAAAAGTGAAATGAAAACTCGAAAATGTCAAAAAAGTTAGAATCATGAAAAAAACTTGTTTTGAAACAAAAACATGCTAACACAAAAAATTGAAATTAGAAGCAGAAGATCATGTACCCACTGGTAACAAAGACAAAAATACCTTGTCAGAAACCCTTTAAGACAAAAAAAAAAGAGAACTTATGA